GTGCTGCAACACTCAATTGGAACAAATGCCTAGATTTTCTTGCCCATTGTTTCCCAAGGCTCTATGATTTCAAGTCTGTGTGTTCGGTTTCTCTTCCAATCAAACTGCCAAGCCATCCAAAAGCAATCAGTGGTTGCCCTGTCTCTAATGCCACAAGGTGTCTTCTGTAGGGTATAAGTATATTCCTGAGACCTGCAAGAGTAAATGCACAATGAAACATCAAGACAAGAAGAGAGAAAGCCCTGTAAAATTAAAGCCTCACAAAGGAAGAATCATCGAACTATTGCAAGTAAAGCTTCTGCTCCACCTATTGATTGAAGTACCTGCGATGCACATTGTCTTGTAAAGATGAGCAATATGTGCATCTCCCTTTATGCTCATATAAGGTCTTTCCAAGCATTCAAGGAATGCAAGGTCAGCCTTCAGAAGCTTAGCCTGATCATGGGTGTCATAACCAATGTCATGGCAATAGCAACAGAAATCCAACCAGTCAATTGGTCGTTTGTCCCAAAGAGGCAACCCATTGTCCTTTCCACTTGACCAGTTGGGCCCACAGTAATGTCCATAACGTGGGAATAGCTGAGAAAGGAAGGCTCTTGACCCTTTATGCCAAGGTACTTTAGCAACATATGGCCTAAATGGAGGAACAGAAGATCGAGAACTAGGTCCAATTACTCCACGCCCTTGGGTCTGTTTCTGCAACTCTCTGTTCAACGTTGGTGGAATTTGCATCTTATTCCTCGTATTGATAGCCCAAGGAAACAAGGACATCAAGGACCAACTCCCCCAGAGCTTAATATCAAAGATAACTCGTTGCTTAGATGACTCCACTGTGACATCAGTAGATTTGGGCACGGATTCAAAACCCGTGTCTGAATGGACTCCAAACCAAGGGAGATTATGAAGAAACCCAAAATTCATGGTGGGCAAAGACAAGATATCACCAAATGATAAACACGATCCTCCACAACATCACAGACACAATAGGCCTGCCACCAAAAATCACATCATTCTCAGAGAAGAAGTAACAGAGATAGTTTTATTCAAATTGCAACTATCGGATTGTATAAGCTTTTCCCATATTAAAAGAACTCGGGTTATAGCTGAACCCAGAATTGGTACTCGTGCGCTTTGCTTCCCTTCTTAATCCTTACTTAAATATCACTATCGATTGTTAAGGAGAAACACTGGAAGTCCAGAATCTGAATCAACCAAACAAAATCGGTTCTTTTTTTAATGCAACTATTTAAAAATTACGGAATTTAAATAGTGGTTCCTATAAATATTGGACAGTTGACGATCAAACACAGGAGGACCGTGAAACTTCAAATAGAGACTGAATTCGATTAGCCAATTGGCTCTGAGCATATTAGGAAACAAAATATTACAAAAGAGAAATTACAAATAAACAAAGCAAGAATCCAAAACCCTAGTTTCAAAAGTTATCATACCTGTATAAAGTGAATTGAATTTCGCAGACGAGATCAAACCCAGCTCAGAATTGCTTAAAAAAAACAGAAACAGATCAAGAACTCAAGATGTGACGTTTATGGATAATGGGTGGGGGGAAGGATAATGAATTCAGGCGTTGACGATTGACAGTTGTTTTATTTACAGAGGATTAAAAAGATGCGAGAAAGAGGGAAATAGAGAAGCTTCCCGAAGTCTCGCGTTCTCTCTTTCTCTCAGGTTTCGTTTGATTTCTAATGGCGGTACTGAAGTCGGGAGGTGGGGTGGTGGACAAATGGGCCTACACACCAAAGTCTGCCGATTGAAGCAGAGAAGAGGAAGAAAAACACACAGACAGAACCTTTCCTCTCTCTCTCTCTCTCTGTCTCTCCTTTCAGGCTCCTTTAACACGGGGCCCTCAAGGAAAGTGGAAGATCAACCGTTCATTCTGCATCTTTCCCTCGGATAACGGGAGAAGAAGAACAACGATTCCCACAAGATGTCAGTGTCTGTGTCCTCTCATTCAGCATCGACACCTGTACTCTAACTGTATCTACGTGTCTACATAAAAGGCTTCTCCGACACGCTGGTCCACATATCTGATGTCAAATGGATCGGATTTGGTACAATCTGATGCAATCCAATATATGGATCAGATGAATATTCTGCCCCATTTCGGACCAGTTTAATTCAATGTCGTTCATTCGTTCAATTCGTTTAAATTGATTTTGATTTAGATAGTTCCATCCTAAAATCAGTGCATTGACACCTGTACACATGGTTTTGCCTACGGCTCTGTTACATAATCGGGCAGAGAAATTGTTCTCAGTTAAGTACATTTAACAGTCCATATAAATTGTAAAGTTGGGTTAATTTTGAACAGATAAATTCCAATAAAGCATATGTCTTTTCTTATCAAAAGTCTACTTGAATGCAAATTTACTTCATTTTTATTGATATACTTTTGTATCTTATTATCAATGTAAATATACATTGGAAAATGTATTTTCTGTTATTTGTCAATGCATAAATATAATATTGCCAAATACAAGCAAAAGTGAACCAGAGTACAAATTTACCTTAAACCGAAATTTACACTCCATTTGCATCATTTCCAAACGCAACCTTAAGATTTATATAGGGGTAAAACAGAAATTTAAGATAAAAAGAAAAATAATACATTGTTTTGTATATTGATGATGCGCAATCCGGTCGATCCTAGCTGCCGGTTACTTCGCCTCTAATGGAATTGGAGGTGCCTGAAACAAGGAAGAGAACGGAGATTTCCGGGGAGGAACCCAGTTGGAACACTCCGAAGCTCAAGTTAGTGCTCTTGAGAAGGCAAGGGGAATGAAGAACTTCAAGACCAGAAAGCGCAAGAATCACCTACCTCCTTCTTTGGGAGATGGGGGGGCCTTTTATAATCACCCTTTACACTCACTCCCATACCTCTACCAGATCGGGTGTCATCATTTCTGCCAGACGCCAATTCGGGTGTCATAGCCTCTGCCAGCTGCCAGTTCGGGTGTCATAGCCTCTGTCAGCTGCCAGTTCGGGTGTCATAACCGCCACTGTCCTTGTCAGGGCCGTCTCTGCTACGTCTAAGATGGCGGTGGCAGGTGGCCATTGGAGGGCGGCTGTCATGTGTCGGACCTCTAATCAGTCAGGCGCACCGACTCCGTGTACGGGCTTCCTGGGCGTCAGGTACGGTTGCTCAGTCA